ATGCTTTTTTCGAGTGTATAGCGAATATGATAACACACACATACACACAAACGCGCGCGGCCTTTTCTTTTTTTCTTTTTTTTTTTCTTTTTTTTTTTCTTTTTTTTTGCTTCTTTTGATTGATTGATTGATATGAAGTGGAGGGGTTCGCCTCCCCCCCGCGAACACACACACACACAAACACACAGACACATATACGCATGCGGTGCAACTGCCCATTTTTTTTTGCTACCAATTTTTTTTTTTTTTAAATCGTCTTTGAGGTCAAAAAATATAAAAAATATATGGGGTTGTAGATTTCGAAAAGATCTACAACCCCATATTTTTACTTTTATTTTTTTATTTTTTTTTGCCCCTAAAACACCTTCGGAATGCCGTCGTCCGTACGCCCGTACGGCCGTTCGTCCGTCCGTACTCACGGGCCGTATGGAGAGCCGTACGGGCGTTCGTCCGTCCGTATGCACGGGCCATACGGAGAGCCCCCTACGCACGGGCCCCTAAAAATTTTGCCAAGGTAATTGTTTTTTCTTGTTTCTTCTTCTTCTTCTTCTTCTTCTTCTATGCTGTTTGATTGATTGATTGATTCGGAAAAACAAATAAAAATTGGAACACGCCAGACTATGTGTGTGTGTGTGTGTTTGTGTGTGTGTGTGTGTGTGTGTGTGTGTGTGTGTGAGAGAGAGAGAGAGAGAGAGAGAGAGAGAGAGAGAGAGAGAGAAGCATCTGTGCCAGACTGTTCCAGCGGACTTTCATGTGTCTGTGTGTGTGTGTTTGTGTGTGTGTGTGTGTGTGTGTGTGCGCGCGCGTGTGCCGGGCGGAGGGGAGGGAGGACCCCTCCCCCATCAATCAATCAATTAATCAACCAACCCATCAATCAATCAATCAATCAATCAATCCATCAATCAATCAAAAACACAATCAATCAATCGATATTTATTTCTTTTTCTATTTTTTTAATTTTTTTTTTCACACACCAAAAACAACCCCCCCAAATTTAACTTTTTTTTTTCTAGTGGGTTCGGGAGGGGGACGCCATGCGCAGGCGATGCGCACGCCCGGTTTTCAGGCGCGTGGCTCCATCACAAAGTCTTTTTGCCGCGTGGCCTGGGCCGGGGGATCGGGGCCCAAGCCACTTCACATCTGGGATTACACAGTCAAAAGGGGCTACAAAGCCGCGTGTCCCACCCTGCCAATTGATCAGACACTAGCCCAAAGGTGGGCACATGACGCTCCTATGGACCTGCAAATGGTGGAAAATCTGCCCTGGTCGAAAATCTCTAAAATCATGCCAACAAACCTCAGAGCTCTGCAATGGCAGATCCTACACCAATGCCTCCCTACCCCAGACTGGCTTGCTTCGAGGACCTGGAGCAGAGAGGCCTGCTATCCCCCATCTGTACGTATTGTGGCAGGGCACAGGGCGACGCCACCAGCCCGGGCTAGGTTGGAGCACTGCCTGCTGGCATGCCCCATGGTCACCCAGCTGCGGCAATGGTAGGACACGGCCTTTCATTCCGTCACAGCTCAACATATCCCATGGGATCTTGGGTTGCTGCTGTTGGGTGAGAACCAGTACTTGCTAGCACAATGGTCCACCTTCGCAACCAACCTCTTTCTCTATATGAGGTTGCCAATCCTTATGCTAGCACCTCAGCCACCACCCCAGCCGCCGCAGACATCCGCCTGCCAGTCAGTCGCACAGCCGCCCCCCCGACCCGCTGCCCCAGCCACTGACCCCTCAATTGACCCATCTAACCCTACCACCCCACCCCACCCTGTCCAACCCCTCTTCCTCGCTCCCCCCTTCATCCCCCAGGGTGTGAGACCGTAACAAGGCGGACCCAACATGCACAAACCGCAGAATCTGATGGACTACTGCTGCCAGGTAAGGAAAGAAGGGAGAGGTGTAGGGTTTAAAGGTCCCGCTACTGCAGACGGATACAACCATAGACACCATAATAACAGCAGCCAGGACATGAACGACATGAATAACAAGACTTGGAGCGGCGAGGCGCGGGTGTCTATCTCACCTACGTCAAACTATCCCCGACAAGGCGTGAGGCAGCAGCAGATCATGACATGGACCATTGCCAACCGGTGAGGGGCGAAGACAGGGGAAACAGGTCAACGACTTGTCGCCACTAAAGACAGACGCGAATTCGCCCAAATGGCAACATAGACACGGAAGGGGTGAACGAGGGACAGAGGCCCGACGCCTCTTCTTGCAACTGTATGATTGGCTTACCCTGTTTTTTTACTCCACGAGAGAGTCCAGGGGTAGAGGGCTTAGGGGTTTAGCCTACACTCACAAGGTCTGCAGATGATGGCAGAGGTACTGAAGGCTTAATGACAACAAGCATTGTCTAACATTGTTTAAATAGGTTACTTCCAAAGGGTGGGGGATGGGGAACGGGTGGTTTGTTTTCCTACACTGGGGATAAGGATAGACTATCATAGATGAAAGCAGTCTTCACTATCGTGTATTTTATCGCATAACATAGGCTGTCATGTAGGCAATCAATCCAGGCCACAAGGTAGTTGTGTAGCCCCAACATATTTCCTTCTCCGAGGGTGGGTTATGCACCTAGCAGTTGCCACTAGCAGTTGTCTGTACAAACAAGCAAGCATGATGTTTTGGGATGCTGGACCCGGTTTCCAGGAGGTGCTGCTTCCCACCAATAGATGGAGCCTTCCCGAAAAGTGTTAGTGGTGGCTGCTCTTATCAGCACTCCTAACATCGTCTAGGGCTGTTCTTCTTCTTCTTCAAAAAAAAAAAGAAAAAAAAAAAAAAGGAAAGCCAGACTAGAGAATAGGAGGGCAGACAAAGTTGTGGTAGAAGGGTTAGATGACGTGACCCTTGACAACCCAAGCAAAATTCTCAAGGCGGGTCTATTGCCTATCCATGCTTACATAGACAACAAACTGGATGCTATCAAGGGTACCCTTGACCAGATACTGTGTGCCATGCAGGGGATGGGAAGGGCTTTCACATCTCCAACGGGCGGGCCTGGTTTCTGACCACCAGTTTTCCATCACTGATTTCCTCACGGGTGATGACAAGTGTCTCTATGTTTCAGTTTAGCAGTTCACCAAGCTGTACTTCAGCAGCAGCAGCAGCACAGACAACTGCTGCTTCATCTTCAGGGTCTGCAGTTGGTGATACGCAGCAGACGGTCCCACCAGCGGGATAATAGTAACCTTGGTACCCCAAGACTCCACTAAAAACACCCTCAACCTTCTCGGTGGTAAGAAGGATGAGGCTCTCGACACTTGGTTGAGAACGGTGCCAGTAAGGCGGAGGGCAAAGAGGATGCTACTCGAGGAAGAGGTGATCATTGTCGCCTCGTATCTTGAGGGTTCGACAACCTGATGGCTAGATGGATTGGTAGCCTCGAAAGGGTTCGGCATGCGAATGAAAGATTGGGCTAAGACCCATACTTTAGAGAGCTTCATGAAGTTGGTAGAATCGCGATGGCACAACCCCTAACAGGCGCAGCATGCCACTGACGCGTTCACTCGGCTTGATATTAAAAGGTACAAGACCGTGCACGAGCTTACCTCTCCCGTGGAGCGTCTCATTGTCGTACCCGGCGTAGGCTACGATCAACAAGTCTTAATGACCATGTTCTTCATATGTTTTCGCACAGACGTCAAGAACTTGCTGGTCAGGGAGGCTATCATCGAATATCACACTCTAGACTCCTTTAGCAAGAAGGTCTTAGACTTAAGAGGCTAGGCTAGGAGTTGCCCAACAACCCTCAATAGACGGGAGGAAAAAAAAGAGTCCACAAGAGTGGAAGAAAAAGGGTAGCCGATTGATGATGGTTGATTCCGACAGGAATCGAACCGAGTTCAATGATGTTTTCGACCTTGTGGACGAAACAAAGTTTGGAAGTGAGGATAGTGCTTAGGGTAGCAACCTCGCTTCTTGAGTAAAGGCATGCAATCATGGTAAGGGCGGTCAACAGAAGAGTCAGGGGCAAACCCAAAACTCAAACAACACTCTGGTTTGGGTGAGGGCGGGTCTAAAACAAGATGTGTGGTGAAAGCGTTATTAGCAAGGAGCTTGCATTAACTGCGACGAGTACGGTCATCAACAGTTTAGGTGGAAGAATGCGAAGGTATCGCGAAGATACCTCCGCAAGGTGGTTTTATAATTTTTTCTTTCCAAGGTTGGACTTCTACGAAATCCAGTTTCTAAAACACATTGGGCTAGTAGAAGTTGTAGTTGCTTCTACTTCTGATGAAGTGGGCGATGTGCCCTCCTCACTTCAAGAGTTGGCCGAGGCTATTGACTCTTTCGTCCCCCCGCAGACGCGTCACCACCCAGACGCATCTTGACCCAACGATACTCTGTTCATTGGACGTGTTTGAGGCCTTAGAGGACCTAGAAAGGGAGTGGTCGGCAAGGGATTCTCGTGAGTCTTGGGTGGCACTAAGTCGTGGTCCTAGACGGGAGCATTTCATTGTGGAAGTTGGTGTAAGTGGCCGCAAGTGTGGTGCCTTCGTAGACATCGGCTCCACGCGGAACTTCATAAGTTTCGATTGCGTTGAAAGCCTGTGCCTAAAGGATTGGGTGCAGCGCCTGAGTAGACCAGTAGCATCTACTATGGCTAACAAAGAGTGCATTCTGGTGGAGGACTACGTCAAGAGCGTGGTCTGGACCTTCTCTTATGGAGGTGGGGAACTGAATCATCAGACTAGGATCTCGAAGTTGTCAAACCCCAGTTTGACTGAGACAAGAAAGTGCTCATTGACAAGCATGTGTTGCCTAATGGGAGAACCGTTAGACTAGCTAAGTATAAGGCTAGTAGGTTAATTAACTTTTGTGGTTGCATGTGTGCACCAATGTTCTACAGTTATTACAAACAGAACCAAGAGGAGGGTATGTACATAGTTTTTGTCTCTAAGAAAGGGGAGATCGTTAAATCGCCCCTAGATATAGAAAACGTCGTCGCAAGGTCCCCTAATATGTTTGAGGAGATTTCAGGAGTTGTGGATAGGGAGGTGGTCCATGCCATATAGATAATCCCGGGTAGGACGAATCTATAGGATGACATTGTGAGTTAGACGAACTTCGACAGCAACTGAAAGAGTTTACAGAAAAGGGCTGGATACTACCTAGCATCTACTTTGGCTTACCTGTCTTATTTGTACCAAAGAAGGGAGGATCATTGAGGATGTGCATCGACTATAAAAGCCTTAATGTCATCACAGTTAAAAACGCAGAGCCTCTACTGCGGATTGAAGATCTACTGGATAGGTGCAGGGGTGTAAGTACTTCACCAAGCTAGACTTAAAATCTGAATACCATTAGATTGTCATCAGACCGGAGGACCAACACAAAACCGCTTTTCAGACTAGGTATGATTTGTACGCGTTTGTGGTGTTGCCCTTTGGCCTTTGCAATGCGGCGGGTATATTTCAGCACGCCATGAATATAATAGTCCACAACTAATTGGATAAGTTTATCGTCATGTACCTCGACGACATTCTTATCTTCAGTAGAACTGTTCAGGAGTATACTCAACATGTAGAAAAAATACTTTCACTCCTACAATGACACAAGTACAAGAAAAATTTAGAGAAATGCAAGTTCAACTGCACTAAAATTTTGTACTTGGTCAGAGGTATCTGCGGAAGGTATCAGGTCCGAAAGATGCGAAGGTGGCTAGCATTCGTGATTGGCCATGATCTCAGTCTTTGATCGTGGTCATGTCATTGTCGAGGATGTGTGGCTACTACTGAAACTTCGTGAAAAACTATAATGCGGTTGCCTTCACTTTCACTGATCAGACACGCCTTGACACTCCATGGGAATGGACAGATGCGTGCGAGGCTGCTTTCAAGAGGTTGAAGTATGCTCTCATGCATCATGACATTCTCATGGTTCTCGATCTAGAGAGGTCGTTTGTTGTGATCATCGACGCAAGTCAATATGGCATTGGCGAGGTGCTAGTCCAACAGGAAGGGAAGAAGTTCAAGCCCATAAGCAAGAAGATGACATCGAAGAAGTTGGCGAGGGCCACCTACGAAAGGGAACTCTATGCCCTCTACAAAGCACTTCTCCCCACTTGAGACTATCTGTTCGGAAGGTTTTTTTACTTAAGAACCGGCCATCAGATACTCAAGTCGATCAAAACACAACCTGTCATTTCTTACGCACTCAAACGCTGGATGAAAGTTATAGATCAATATGACTTCAAGCTCGGTTAGGTGAAGGTAGAGTACAATAAGGTTGCGGATGCGCTGTCACGTAGGGCACACTGTCTAGGCGTGTTAATTACTAAGTTTGGCCTATTAGATGATGTAACTCGATTCTTGGTGGAAGTCTTCAAGGAAAATCCCATCACGATGGACGGCATGCGCAAACTTGATGCTAAAGAGAACGCCACATTATATGTATTTGTTATGGTGGATGGGTTACTCTTTCTTGAAAAGGCAGAATTTAAGATATTAGTTGTCCTATCTAGTGAAATTTTGCATAGTTTATTTTAAGGTGAGTGTCACGATGCTACCGGATACTTCGGAAGTTCGGCTGTAAAAAGACAAGTGTTAATTTAGTGCAACGTTTTTGGTGGCTTGGTATGCTTGATGAAGCAAAGAAGTACATTCAAACTTGTCAAGTTTGTCTGCGGGACAAGTCGCGAACTTAAGTTGCACTTGGGTTGCTCAAGTTGTCGCCCATTCCTCCTGGTCCTGGAGAAAATGTATCCATGGATTTCATAGACACTCGGGACCAGCAACACTGGCAAGAGGCACATCTTGAAGTTCGTGATAATTCATAGGTTTACTAAGTACGGTAGACTAATTGTTTTGTCGAAAATGGGAGGACAAATCATGTCATCAAGTTATTTACTTCCGCTGATCCTGGACAAAGCGTATGCATGGACTTCATGGTCACACTCGTGACCAATAAAAGTGGCAAGGGGCACATATTCTTGATAGTTGACTGATTTACTAAGTAAGCTTATGTTAATTGTCATGCCGAAAATGGCGAGGACGGATCATATCATCCATTTATTTATGGATAAGTGGGTGCATGTTTTCAAATTGCTCCAGTCCATCGTTAGTGATAGAGATGTCGGTTTCACTAGCGAAATGTGGAAGAAGGTGGCTGAACAGATGGGCAGCCAACAGTCCAAATGACTTTGAGGAATCATCCCGAAGCCAACGGTCAAGCTGAACAGATGAACCGTGTGGTGCAGCATCTGCTGAGGCACTACATGAAACCCAGGAAGGATGACTGGGATGAGAAGTTGCCTCTCATCGCCTGTCTCTACAACAACGCTATACATAGCACCACCGACGTTAGTCCGAATCAATTGCATTTGAGATGGAAACTTAGATCTGCTCTTGATTTCCTCCTGCCTGAAAACTGATCTGCTGCAACTCCTGGAACTATAGAATTTGGTTTGCGTCAAGGTTTTGAGCACATTAAGAAATCTCAAGAATGAAAAATGATTGCTTTTGAGAACAAACATCGACGTCAGTCCACAGTTCAGGTAGGGGAACGTGTTTGGGTCAAGGCTAGTGAACTAGGACAAGAATTCGACATCTTTAGGGAAGTAATGTTGCATTACTTTGGTCCTTGGGAAGGCTTGGATATCGTGGGTGATGATTTGAACGGTCCCTCATACGTTATTCAAATCCCTGGTCACTTGCGCACTTACCTTTTGTTTCATGCGTCAAAGCTTGCACTTCTCAATGAGACACTGTAGTTCCCCTCAAGGAGATCGATGTTGCCCCGAACCATGGATGACCACGTGGACGTCAACAACGTTTTGGAGCACAGAGACATGCCTGTTCCGAAGTCTGTGGCTAGAAAACAACCGCCGAAAACCAAGAGGGAGTACTGGGTCAGATTCATGCATCACACGGATCCAAAAGAAGCCCGATAGTTCATAGGAGAGGAACTGGTTGAAACAGCCCCTCAAATTGTGACAAATTATGAAATAAGGTTAAAGGGGAAGACCCCTACTTGAGAAGCATCTCAGCGGACTTCTGAAGATGAGGGGGATGGAATGCGAGGAACAAGCCCTCTCGAGGCCCTTATTAGATATGCACATGTTCTAGGTTGTGGCCCCCAGCCAGCCCTATGCCCGCCCTATGTGAAGGCGGGATTGAATATTCACAAGAGGCCTAAATTTGACAATTTTCCATATGTGGACAATTGAAGCATGCCAGTTGGTTACAGGGAAGCATGAGCCTCCAGGCTCTTTCCAAAAACAAGGGGTGCGTTGCACAATTGAGCCCAAGGCCGGGTGGTTGGCCTTGGGCCAGGCATTGTGAGGCCGACACATCACGCAGTGACCGCAGACGAATGAGAAAGCAGTGTCATCATCACATGACTTCTGCAAGCCAATGAGAATGTGGCAAACATTTGCACCTGGACATCGGTCTGGATGAGCCTAACCAAGAAGGGCCCGGACCCAAGAAGTGGGCCTGGGCACAAACAGTGGAGCCGGACTGGAAGCTACTGGAAACCTCTCCAGCAAGGCCCAGGCAGGCAATGCGAACATGAGTTACTGGAAAATTCTCCAGCCTACTCTACTCAGGTACGTGACGTCAACACCAAATTGTGGCAGCCCCTCAAATATCGTGACGTCAACACCAATGCCGACGACCAGCATACATCATGTATGTTCTCTCTCCTCCGCTCATCGCCCCTTGGAGCCCACAACATGCGCCTCCTACCCGAGGACCACCTTCGCCCATCACCCGCATTGCCTGCCTGAGTCAAAGACCGCCTTCAACTTTAGAGTGATTCACTCGTACGAACATAGATAGGCGAGCTAGGCAGAGTAGAGTAGGCTGGGTGTTACACCAGACAGTAGGGGCGATATTGGATATAGTGTTCGTGTGACTAGAGAGCGTTGGCATTGGCACTCGCCTACTTTGTATGACCCTTATTTGGGTGGTATCTTGGTGCATTTGACCTCTTTGCTTTGTACATGACCATCTAGACTACTTCGTGATTTTGCAACGTGGTTTTCTGTCTATCCCTCTCGCTCATATTCCTTGCACCTGCCAACGTTTGAGCAACGACCCTTAGGCTAACTCAGGTGGTTAGGCACGCAAGTGGCGCTAAGGAGGTTGTGGGTTCGAGCCCCATAAGTGCCTGTGGCGAACTTAAGTGCCAACCAGGTGTGATAGACCGCTTCATAGCTTTGATCGGTATTAGTAGGGTCTTTGGCCATCACGGGTGTGAGTGTGAGTGAGAGCGGAACTGGGTTGTGTTTGGTGTGCGGGAGAGTGTTGGCCTTAGACACTGTTGCTACTTGATGGGGGGTGGGGGATGATGAAAAGGGAGGTGCAGCTATTGCCAAAATGCTCGGTCTTGGTGTTGGCCACACCGACATTGGCGTTAGGAGTGGGTCTGTGGAATAAGGTCTTGTGTTCGGTACCAGATTATGACTCAGGGCTAGCTGCTTAGTGCTAACTTGCGCTGCGGACCGGTCGGCGAGGCCCGGGCGCACTCCGCGGACTAGGGCAGTGATGGTGAGCGCCATCACTTCGCTTGGTCGTCCTGGTGCCCGTCCGGCGCTTCGGTCCGGGCGTAGGTGGGTTTTCCACGTGGCAGCTTAAGGAGACGGCATGTCAGCTTGAAGGAATCAAGCTTAGATTGAAGAGACAGCGCGGTCGTTCGAGAGGCGGCTGCGACAACATAATAAGATACAACAATATCAAGATTAATGACCATAACAGCCTCAACCATGACTACAACGGCAACAATGATGGCGATGGAGGCGGCGACCATGCAGACGCTGTTGCTATTGCCTTGCTTGAAGAGGAGGGAGCTGCGTTGGAGATGGTGCGGATGTATAAGCGACAGATGGACGACATCTATGCCGTGCTGATTCAACATCGACACAATCTACCAGCGGAACTTCTGGAGGAGGGTGAGGAGTTGTTCAGCGGATGGGAGGAGGAGCTCCATGCAAATCTCCCTTTTCAGCGGTTGGRCGCTATTGAAGAARCACAAGTKATGGCGGAGYTGTGTGATTGTACTRAAATGCTAGGGAAAGTGAGGGGAATCTTCGTTGAGCTCTGGGAGGGGCTGTATGTGAATACAAGGCGTGATGATGTGAAATGGCGTTGCTGCGTGGGGCCTGAGGAGGGGCAGGTGCGTTGTGCCACGTCGCAGAATCGTTCGTATGAAGCTGACGGCACTTGTATTTCAGCCACTTCCGCTATTAAGGAGGTTGTAACTCGCCACGGGGAGCTTGAGGAGGGGGAGGGTTCTTGCGGTGAATCGGAGGAGCGCTCGTTTGTGGGTGATGAGGATTGCCCTCGGTGGGGAGGAGGGGATATCGCCAGGTGTGATAATTACAACAACAACAACAGCGACCACAACGGGAATATCGACGATGAACTTATGATGTTTGTGGCGCAGGGTGTGAAAAAATATAAACGACAGCAATAACTACACGGTGCGTGACGGTGGAACGGGAGGACCGATCTTCAACTGGTGCACGCCAGAAAACGACGTTGATCTCAACAACAACGATGACAACAACGAGTCAGCCGGCGACAACACGACTGGGGATCACAGCGATTGTGACAACAAATTTCATAACGACAATACAGCCGGTGATAACAAAAACAACAAAGATATTCACAGTGATACTCACGGAATAACAAGTGAGAATGGGCAGTCTCTTCCCCCCTTTCCCCACCCTCCCCTGTTCATTTTTTGCTGGTGTTTTTTGGGGTTGGATCAGGGGTGTGGGCGAGTTGGGTGGATGATTGGAAGGTTTGGTAAACGGGAGGACTGTGCGGGAACGTTGGAAGTTGGATGGTGGCGCGAAGGGGTGGGTTAGTGACTCTAGGATAATCGGGTTGCATAGGGTAGCATGTGAGTGGTTGGTTCCAGCATGCTCTTCCTGGGTTACGTGGTGATTGCTCAGATTTGGCTTCTCGATCTGCTATATGAATTTGGTAAACTAATATGGCAAACTAAACCTTGTGCAGCTCTTTAGGATATAAGATGTCGCCATGTGGCAGGGCAGATGGCGCAGTGAGGAACTACCATCGGGAATACGCATTAGGGCGACCTATGCGACTTGTTGTGTTCGGCCACGTGGCTGTTTTGCTAGGATTTCTCTACCCCTTTTTCGATGAAGAATCCACATGTATTCTTGTCTTCTCTGATTACCCCTCCTCTTACTTCATAAGCTTTTTAGGGTAGGCATAGATCTCGTGTCTCGAAGGGTGGGTGTATCAATTGATCTTCTATTCTCCCTACTGCTGATTGCCTCTCCTCCTAATGGCGCGGTGAGGATTTATGTGGTAGATGATGAGGAACTCAGAGTAGGGCTATGATTTTGGATATGAATTTGGATTACGATGGACGGTTAATCCCCTCAGTTGAGGGCAATCAATGCTGCTCATCAGTCACTTGGCGTGCTTGCGTGTCGCTTTCCATGACCATTTAGATGACCGACACGTGGCAAGCCTACACGAGTTTGAAATGAGTTTGAAATGTTCCTATAACAATCATTATATGTCAAGGGACACTGGACCCGCTTTCCAGCAGGTGCTGATCCCCACCAATAGATGGAAGTTCCCCGAGCATGCTAGTGGTGTCTGCTCTTATGAGCACCTCTCGCATCCACTTGGTTTTTTTTTTTTTTTTTTTTTTTTTTTAGAGTGGGTCTGTGGATGATTGAGGATGAACGGGCAAAATGCTCGGTCTTGGTGTTGGCCACACCGCCATTGGCGTTAGGAGTGGGTCTGTGGATGTTTGAGGATGAACGGGCTACCTCGCTTTAGATTTGAAGGCATTCAGGAGGGACATACTTGAAATTGGGATTCTGACAGTGTCCCAATGTACAATGGGCTATGGGAAAATAACCTACGCCCCAACAAGTGGCCTAGGGGCCTAGAAATATGGCGGTTCATTGGGCGTGATGGAATGATTGGGTGATAAGCGGATCGTTAATTCTTTCATGAAACAAGTCCGGCAATGTCACACTTTCAATTTCGAAGGGCAAGAAAACATGTGCGGGGAACAACATCGGGTGACACTGTGGGGTTTGAAAAGGGCGATATCAATAGAAATGGTTGTGGCCCAGATGTGACGTTGTTCATTTTATTTTAGCTATGTGTTGATGCATTCCAGTGTGTTTCTCCTCTGAATTATCATTTGACGAAGGGGCAACATGTACTATCCCATTAGCTATGCTTGCAGGGTCGATGAAGAGAGAGAGAGAGAGAGAGAGAGAGAGAGAGAGAGAGAGAGAGAGAGAGAGAGAGAGAGAATTGTTGGGCGGTTCAAGGAAGAAGGCGGCCATAGCCGCGGAGCTTGGACATAGAGGTAGAAGAAAGAAGATGAGTGAAGGAGGAGGGAGAGACAAAGGAGGAAAGAGAAGTCATAGATGCGGAAGAGGAAAAAGGGACGACAAAGGAAGAATAAAGACATAGTCGGGGTGAAGGAGGAAGAAAGAGAAAGGAGGGTTGGTGAGAGAAAAATGGTCGGCAGCTATAGCCGAGTGAAACGTTGACCAAGGAGTTAACCGGAGGGTTTACCGGGGTTGACTGACGTGTTGACCAAGGCGTTGACCGGGGAGTTGACCGGGCGTTGACTGATCGACGTTGACCACGGCGTCGACCAAGCGTTAACCAAGGCGTTGACCGAAGCTGTTGACCATGAGATTGACCAAGCTGGAGTTGGTATATTCTCGCCAAGCCTTCAGCCTATTCCCTCGCCCTATGGATGTGCACTTACCCCATGGTACTCGGTGAGTCTGTCTGTCGCTTATTTCTGCATTAAGTCTCTTCTGTTCAGGTGATAGGAACTCCGTGTATGAGGTCGTAGAGCTGCGTTGACCAAACCCACAGAGGTTGAGTAGGGCTTAATTCTATGTCTGACGACTGACACATCCCGGAGGACAAACCCTCCCAAGGACCGGTACAAACCGACGAGCTGAACAGTGCGGCACGGGTGACTTAAAATCCGAGTTGTGGGTTGCACAACCACCTGTCTAAGTGTTGAGAGGACTTGCTGATCGCGTCATTCTGTTTGCAACGTTCAACAATTCTTGAGGAGTTATGGAGGACCTCCTTAAACCACCGGTCCCCCCGCCAGCCAAAACCCCTTGGCCCGGTGAGCTAGGGCTGGGTTGTACGGAGGGGCGATTACGGAGGACCTCCTTAAGTCACAGGCGGGTCCAATCCCGCCATTCGCAAGAGGCAACTTTGCCAATTTTTTGTGCTCAAAAGAATTCATCAAAAGGTCTGCAAATTTGAGGGTCCGTAGATTAGGTCGTGATCTTTTAGGGAAAAATATCAGGAAAAAAAAAAAACATTTTGACCGTTAAATATTTGCCACGCCGATTTTGTGCATTTTTGCAAAATTTCATTTTTTTAGGCCTGACTGGATTTCCACTCTGTACTACCGGTACCCCTGAAATTTCTGACGTCAGGGGGACTACCAGTACCCCTGAGGTTTCTGACGTCAGGGTGACCGGTGGTTTAAATGCCTCCTGGTCAGCTCTGAAGTCCTGTAGTGACAGCTTAGAAGTAGGTCTGAGCTAGTGACCATAGTTGACAGGGTTTTGAACCGGAGAGAACGCCAGGCGGGACTGACCGCATGTGTTGGGCATCTGGGTCTGGATTGTAAAGGACAGTGGTGGCGAAAGCTTCCGTCGGCCGTGGTAACCTGGCTGGAGCAAAGGGTGGGCCTCTGTGGTCCTTAGACAGTCAGTCAGTCAGTCGTGTGGGTAGGCCCAAGTAGTGAGGAGTGGGACAACTTTGTCGTGCACCTAACACCATGGATGACTACCCGATGTACGACATGCTCGTGAGGTTCTCCCTTCGGAAGACCCTTTCGTGGGACCCTTTCGTGTCTCCTCTTTCTGTTGGGGTTTTGGAACACGTTCAGGTGTAGAGTAGAGACTCCGAGTGGTGCGGGGACCACTCCCTACACCAAGGAACAGGAGGAGGAGGCTGCAAAGATTTTGGCCAAGCAGAAGGCCAAAATAGAGAAGGAGGAGGTTGTAAAGCATGCCAAGAAGTTGGCCTTATTGCAGGAGCAGACCGCGAAAAGAAAGAAGTTAAAAGAAAAGTTGGAAAGGATGAAAAAGGAGGAGGAAGAACAATTGAAAATAATGGATGCAGAAGAAGAAGAAGAAGAGAAAAAAAAGTGGAAGAAGAAATGCCCCTAATCATCAGGAGTTTCATAGACAGAGGGGAGTCCAGTGGCACGACGAAGGAAGGGGACCCATGGTTGGCGAAGAAGGTTTCTGAATGGGTTGCTAGTTTGTCCATGGCAGAAGAAGAGGAGGCAATGTTATATGTCCCCAGGGAAGAACAGGAGACGACCATAAGGGAATTGGAAGTTGAAGAGGACCCCTTAAAACGTCAAACTAAAGAGGAGGAGAAAAAGTTGGAATGAAAGTTGCGTCTGACAAGAGAAAAGAAGAAACAAATGGCAGGTGCCAGCAAGATGGCGAAAGAGTTGGAGGTTATAAAGGAGCAAAGAGCGCAGATAGAGGCGCAAACCGATATACAAGGGAAGATGGAGGTTATGTCAAGGAATATCGAACTCTTGGCGAAAACTTGGGACGAGCAGTCTCAGTTCGCTAGAATCAGGATGCAACGTTGCACTCCATACGCTTAGGTTTGAGGGAGTTCGCACGTGAAATGATGATGCATGTGGGCTAAGAAGTGAAGGCGAGGCTAGAGATCACATAGTGATTCTGCACAGGTGCCATAGAAGGCACAAAGCTGGTTGCACCAAGAGAGGAGGAAGCTCGTCCCTGTAGAGAGCCTGTTAAGGTGAAGTTCCCTTTTTCCTACAGTGGGAAGAAGGAGAATAACTTCAATAATTGGAAGGCGTGCACCTGCAAAAGATAGCTCCTGAGGAACATGTCCTCATAGCCTTCCATGCTCTCAAAGACGAAGCAGCAAGCTTCGCCAGGTCGCTTTGTCGCGCTGCTAAGTGTGATAGCGATATGGTTGCCTATTTTGTCATCACTCCTCTCAGTGAGTTTTTCAAATTATTGCGCGAAAGGTTTGCAGATGTCACACGAAGCGTTAGAGCTTATGACAAACTGCATACCATTCATTCCCGCCAATGGAGGAGCGCCGGGATACTCAAGGGTGTCATGGATGAGTTGGTCATCTTTCCTGATCATGGGGTTACTGAGACCCAATTAGTCAACCTATTCTATCGTGCCATGCCCGAGCCCTTGCGCGGGCACTTCTTCGAGAAGAGTAGGGAGTCTACCATGACCTACGATACTTAGCATTCGAAGCGCAGTCCAAGCCAGTTTCCACTTTCTGGCATAAGGACCTTGACAAGGGAAATAAGTGGAAGGGTTGTACCATCTCAGGTCAGGTTAAGGGCAAGGAACACCTGATCCTTACACTAGATGAGGGTGGTATGCATGTGGTCCCATATGATCAAATAAAGTGGGGTCTCGAAGAGGATGATGGTAGTGTGGGTCAGGGGAGGACTTATGTTGCTGACGCGGCTAGAGGGAGGTTGCAAGGAAGAGGAGGAGGTCGCGACCAAGGGGGCCAGGCTTCAGGTGGTCGTGGACAGGGCGATCAGGGGGTTGGCGGCAGAGGAAACAGCCA